CTCATCAGCAAAAAGCATAGTGCAAGAAGAGTTATTTCTGGTACAGCTGTCATCTGCTTTGTTTTTGGACGTGCAGAAACCTAGGCCTGTGGGAAAAAGAATGACCAGAGCATTAAGTCTTGCTAGGGAGAACAAGCCTCTACCCCCATCCTATAAAAGCAGTAATTTTCCAGTGGTGATAATCCTGGAGCTAGTTACCCCATCAGAAAGCCTCACCTGTGTCAGAATTTCTGACTCAGAAACACTTGCCAGGCTATCTCAGGATATGAGAGCTCCTATTTTGTTAAAATACCGGCTTCAGCTGTGGACTCTCTCTGGCTGAGTTCATTCAATACATTAGGGTGCAGGGACATCATCTACAAGTGACACAGACTTTTATCTGAAGCAAAAATCCGAAGGCAAAAGAGACTTACTTGCCACAGAAGTCCTTGTGAACGGCACGGAGGACGAGAGGTAAGTTGCGGTGTGCCTGTAGCCAGTTCTCCACCATATCTGGGTGTCTGGGATCAACTTCCAGAAACACACTCCTGAAAGGACACATTTGGGAGTAGAAAGTGGGAAGATGTACACATTTAGGTTGTTAAACTGATAAAAATTAAGGTCCTTCTTTCTGGATGACTCCTACCAGTGCAGGAAATGAGAAGGCCAGCAAACATGCTGCAATCCAACAATCCTAAAGCAGATCATAGCTGTTCATTTAAGACGCAGATTTTTTTTAGGAGAAAGTGTTGGTCTTCGGGGGAGTTCTCATGGTACTCCTCTGTGTGAGCTGTTAAACCCATGTATCGAGATGTAAGGATCCCTTTTGAACCCCATGCAGAGATACCACCAGCTGTCTTTCTGAAGCTCCCGAAGATTTAAGGCCAGGATGAAATTTTGTGATGCAAATGCATGAACACTGAGCACTGGACTGACAGCACGACGTTCCTCTTTGTATGAGCAGGGTGACATTAAGTCCCAGTAGCGAGTCAAAGTACAAGCTAGTACATGCATTCTCCCCACAGTAAACGTCTCCACAAATCAGTGATGAAAACACCACCAGCATTCAGACCTACACAGAGGAGGTGCAGCTGGGATAAGGGAACTAGTCAGACCACCTCAGTTAGCACACCAGGATGAGGCCTGGACACTGCAGGGCTATTTCTGTCTCTGTTGCAGCCGGGCTTTATGACACCAGCCCATTTCTGAGTCTCCACTCCCGTGATGAGGCAGAACCACCCTAGCTTGCAGGCACGTGGAGATGATGGAACTGGTTACAGCCTGTGGCAGCACAGCAAGGTAAGTTTAACAGGCAAAGAACAGAGGCCAAGCCCAAATCATGCACTCTCCTGAGAATTCCCAGAATGTTCCACACTGAATGCTCCCTATAAATTCACCAAACTAGCTACAAGCTGGGTGTGGATCTCATTTCTGACCTTAAAAAACTTCTACTCCTCAATGGGGGCTCCACCTTATAAAACAAGCAAAAAGGGAAGGGAAAAAAATAATCCTAACAAACAACCCCAAGGGACCAATCTCTGTTGCTGGGAAGTTCTAAGGAGCATCTTCTGCTCTTGCGGTCATGCAAAGCATAAGGAACTAATTCTTTTGCATGGAGTATGCCTCTTAATATTTCTGTTCCTCTTCTCAAAACACAGATTTTTCAATGACCTCTCTTATGCTCTTAAAATGACAGGAATTTTCAACAGGATATACAAATGCCCTGACACAACAGACTTTTGGGTATCAGCATGCTATCTTTAAGCACAAAGTGGATCCCACATGGCAGAATAGGAACAATCAGTTTTGAGTATTAACCATGGAGAAATCTAACATTTAAGAAACTACCCCTGGCTGATCTTCTTTCTCCTAGGATATTCAACATTGTATCCTGACTCAATAAACATGTTTCCCCTGAGTAAAGGGTGAGAGAGAAGTAAAGATCTACATCCATTCTCAGAGTTCTATATTGCTTCTCCTTCAATCAGATATTCTGCTTAGAAAGCTTCCTTTTTTTTTTTTCATTCTCTCTTTCATGTTCTTTTTATTGCTGCTTTGACCTTTACAGATTCTCACTTCACTAATGACTATGAAACACCATCCCTTGTCAAGGAAGGATTGTATCCCTTTTTTAACCAATTTCGAGCTAATTTTGCTTATACACATGACATTTTTTAAACTGCTATTACTAGATGGGGAGGGGGGAACATTTTTGCAACTATTTTCCCTCCATACCTTCCTGTCTGAAAAGAAAACAGAACTTACAGAAGTGAAGGGACAAGACATGTAATTCAAACAGAGAGCAGCACTCACCCAGAATCCTTCAGAAGAGAAGGAGCCAGAGCCAGAATTGTTTTGATGACCCTCATCCCATCATCTCCCCCATCCAGTGCATCGAGGTCCTCATAGCTGGAGAGTGGGAATAAGGAGACATTAACAGCAATTCATGTGGCATGTGCCACGACCTTCAGGATGCGTCGTCCCACATGCCGTGGAGAACACTGCACCTAACACCTGGACTCCAGCAGGTGACAGTGCTCACAGCTTTTATGCAAAATACAGGGAGCGAGAAGGCAGCTACCACTAGACTGAGAAACTCCATGTTGAGCACAAGCAGAAAACATCCCCTGAACTCCTCCTGAAAATTAAGAGCCAACTGCAGCCAGGGTCACACAGTTCCAACACGTGGATCTGTTCTCTCTGTGCTAGCTGGACAGGGAGAGAGCGAGGCATCACTTGCTTTATTTTAACCATGCCTTCAGAAAGCTCAGCTTTCAGAATCTGCTCTGCTGCACATCTTGTACGCATCAGAGGTGGGAGCAAGACTTTGTCTTGACATGTATGACAATCAATTCTGAGGAAGAACCACCACATACAAAGTAGTTCCACATCCCAAAAGAGCTGATTCGTGTTTGTGTGAGTTGGTTTGCACAAGACAAGTACTGAGATGAGAAAGGGTCACAGCATTTCCACTGGAGGTTAATTTTCTATCACAAAAAGCTGTTCAGATTACTTGTACTTTCTTTCATAAACTCACATCAATTATACAAAAAAAAGTCTAACAGGAAAAATGTTTTGAAACAGTTTTGGATTGGAAACTTGGTAATTTCAACGTGTGTGTTTGTTCCATTTTTATAAATATTTAAAATACTTTGATACTGTTTCAGACCTGTAACCAGTATCAAAGTAACACTGTATTATTATATACCATATAAACTCACACTGTGTACCTGTATGCTACATTTGCACGTTTTGTGTGCAATTGTGTGTAGTATAAGGAAGCAGACAGAAAACCTTGCTTCAAGGAACAGGAGAAGAAAAATCTATTTGATTACCGGAGGATTTCTGCGTCCAAGGAAGCCATGTCTTCATGGAAGACATACGGGGGGTTACTGACTATGAAGTCTATGGGGCCCCAGAGTAGCAGCTGCTCGGCAGAATCTAGAAAAGAAAAAGAATCACAACCAGCTCTCAACCATAGCAATCCTCCCCAGAAGCTCAGCATCAAAATCCTATCCAGGAAACTGTCTCTCCAGACACATGCTCACGTGTGTTCAGCTCTGCTTTTCTCTAATAAAATTTTATCCTATTTCTTTTTGAGATAGCCTGGCCTGCTCACTCTGCCACCTTCAACGCAAGGCTGATACAAACCTAAGCACAGGCAAAGTATCATTTTTTTCTATCAACAGCCCTGCTTAGTGGAACATGTTACAAAGCACAGGACCTTGATGCTCTAGAGCTCTGTGCCCATCTGGATCTAAAGTAACAGAACTTGAGAGAGCCCACAAAGACCTAAGTGGGACCTTAGGCTAGCTGTCAGGATGCTCATCCTTCTTCTTATCAGAGCTGCAGAAGGACTCCCAACGAGCAAAAGAGCCAGGCCCTCTCAGCAGTATCAACCATCTGACAGTTTGCTCTTCTGCAGACAAGGCTCAGCTCACTACGCTCATGCTACTGTCTGGACTGACACATGGCAGCCCTGAGTTAGACATCGTGTGACCATGGGAGTGCAGACTGCCCTGAGGCCAGCACAGGGCTTACCCATGCAGGTGCAATGCTAACACAGCTACATGGCTTCTGGACTGGAGCTGCCTGGCGTACTGCTGTTTGCAGCATGGACAGCACAGACTGGGATTTGCAGACAGGAGACTGTGCAGACACGCCCCCAGAGGCAGTACAGCGTCAAAAACAACAGTGTCAAAAGGGACACTAATGAATCTACAGTGCTGGAGCTCCTGGCTCCACAGCACCTGGCTAAGAAACAGCTGAGCACACATCTATCTAACTGGATAAGCCTCATCAAATGGCGTTTTTAACCGGTTTCAGCTCGGTCTGGGGAAGAAGACAGGTATCCTTCCCTGGTTCAGCTCACCTAATTTCAGGTGAATAAGGCTGGGCATTTAATCTAAACTAAATATCTGGGCTCCTGCTAACACCAATGGAGAGACAGGCACACACCCCTTTATCTAAAGCATCCATGTCAGCATGGAACAAGTTACACTGTATATATCTGCCTCTCTCCAGTAACACCAGAGAGCACCTGGACTACCAGCTCAGACATAACCTTTAGACACGTAAAACCAGGAACAATTCACTTTCTGATGTAGCCGGGGACTTCTGCCAGCTGATCATCTGGTCTGGAAATCTCTGAAGGGAAAAGCTTCACTGGCTCACTTCTTACTGACCTTTATTAACTTCAACACCCTTCTGACACCTGTATCCCAAAGTGTTCCCTGGGCTGTGTCTCATGCCTGCCTTCCCCCACCAAAGCAAAAAGGAAGAAGGACAAAGGGGATTATAAAACAGTGAAAACAGTTACTGTATGAAACATCACGGTGGAGAATGTGGATCCTCTCCTGGAGTCGCAGCCTGTAAAATTCCAGATGCAAGAACAGCAAAAAGAAAGATTAGGAGGTATCCTTGTGTGAATTCATGAACAGCACATTCTGTAAACAGATTGTTAAATATCACATGTCTAATCTGATACACGTATATCCTACCACACTGCCTGCAGCTGTATTCCTCTCAAGCCACCAGGGAAGTTTAGGATTTGCTCTTTGCTCAAGGAACAAAATTCGAAGCACCCGTGGTCATTCCAGGGCACAGCTCCTGTGCACCCAAAAGCTATACGTATCACCACTTGCCATACACACAGCAGTACTCCCCCATCCTGCTGCATATTAACTACATCTCCAAGTCCTCCCCCAAGGTGAGTTTATCATCCCTTAAAAAAAAACCCAAACACAAACCAACAAAAAACCCTACAACAAAATGACCTGCTTCAAATATGTAAACCTGTTATTGTAAGCGGAGACAACACGCTCACGTTTGCCTTGTTCTTTCTTCAGCCTACCTGATAATCTAGATCTTCACAGCGTTCTGGCATCTGAGTGCATTTTCTAGGCATCCTTGGGTCTCATCTCACATGCCAATGTCAAGGTGATGAGATGTTACTGCACACTACCAGACACAAACACCTCTCCTCTACCTGTGACAAGCGAGCAAGGAAGGACACTGGCTTGCTATTTTAAGAAACAGATCTACAAGGGTCTCAGTACTTCTTGGGGAGAAATCTTGGCCAAGATGCTGATCTCTCTGACTCACTACATTAATCCAAGGTAGAGCGGTCTTGAGACTGCCAGACTGCCACTGCATGGTGCTTACGGTGCTACAGTCTGTCACAACATGGCATGATCTGTCCCTAGCTCCCAGCTTGCTACAGAACGTGCTCCCTGTCAGGGGAAAATAGTTGAGATAATGATCCCCTTAAATCTTAGGAATCCTGAGTAAAGCTCCCTTGATGCTCCTGGTACAGGAAAGAAAAGCCAGTCTGAAAGCAGTCTAGATGCTTGGTGGCAGCCTGATACTACAGGAGAGGTCACAGAACAGAGAGCGTGAGACAGCAAGGAAGGAATAGAATGTCTAATTCCTCACCTACATGGTCTACTCATCAAAATACCTCTCTTTTCTCACTAGTTTTGCCTCTGGCTTTTGCGGAGACATTTGAGCAATGTCAGAGGATGCACTTTGCAAAGTCAGAAGGACAAGGCTGGTCAAGATCTGCTGTTGGAGAAAGACTCCAAGTCTCCCACCAGAGATGCCATTCCCAGATCAGCAACAGCATGCTGTGGCAGACAGCCGCACTGTTCCCTGACTCCTGTCCTCAGTGCGGCCACTGTCTAGAGAAAACAAAACTGCCCAGCCCTTCCCAGAATGTTCTCTCCTCCCACCACAGTGGCAGTTTTCCTCCCAGCTCTTCAGCGTTAACATCTTAGGGCTACCCAATGGGGCTTGTGGAGCAGGCTGTGACAAAAGCCTTATACCCAATTCCTACCTGCCTTTGCTGAGGGCCTATGGTACTGTCCTGTCAGCACACATAGGCATCAAGAAAGGGAGGGATTCCTGCATATGTCTGCAGTGTGCCCAGATGGGCCACCTGGCACTGGGATTGATTTAGTAAGAGCAAGACTCACCTAAGCATCTAGAGAACACAGCTGTGGTAAGGGAGCTCTGAAAAGAAGGCAGGAACCAAGCTGGCTTCAGTCAAGCAGTAACACAGCTTGTCCTGCTGGCTTCTCTCCCAAGAGCTACAGGGCACCATGCCAGGGACAAGATCACAAGGACTCAATGAAAATATCCGTGGAGAAATATGAGGTTCTCTGGCACAGCATTTATACTCCCTCATCCACTCTTGAGCCAACAAGCAATGTTAATAAGCAAGATGATTTTTCCCAGATGTCGGAGCAATAATCTACCAAGGAGGCAAAGATTTGGCCAGCTTTTATTATATCTACAAAAAATTGCAACAGAACTTGGTTTGACACCGACACATCAGAAGGAAACCTCTGCTCCTCCTTCCCTATAACTGGACTAGGAGGTAAAGGGTAACACTGAGGTGATGAATTTGGGAAGCACTTGTTCCTACACTTCAGATGCACATAAGAGCTGGGAAACAGAAGTAGCCTGTCTCTGTAGCCCCTTTTTTTTTTTTGAAAAAAAGGGTATGTGGGCCCTGTAGACAGAAACATCAGTTAATGAGCACCACTTGAGACTCACAGCTGTGCTAGACTCCAGAAGAGGCAGCAATAGGATCCCTTTTCCTGAGACTGCTCTAATTAACACCTGGAGCCCAGCAGTTATTGAGGGCATGAATACATATAGAGCTCTGTACCTTTTACAACGTCTACAGAGACTGATCTGGACTCAAAAGCATACTGAGATACCAGCTCTGGGACTCGCTATGTTAGCAACCGTCCAGGATAACCTGAGTTAAGAACAACCAGCTGAGGAAGCTGAGCCACTAGGAAGGACAAGGTCAACCTGATACTGTCAGGTCTGCCCTGACTTCAGGCACAAGATGTTTGATTCAGAAGCTCTGAACATCCAGCCACAGCACAGGTGTCCTCCAAACAGCACAGGACCCAGCAGTGCCATTCTCACCAAATCCAAGACTGCAAGGAGGATGCTGAGGGACACCATGCTAGCACACCAGAGTGAAAGTGCTATTTGAGTGCACGAGCTTCTATCTAGAGGAGCAATGACAGAAACAAGCACAGCAATAACGATATAGGGAGTCACAGAGACAAAGGTTCAGGCTATACTTGTCCTTAACCCCCTAAGTGATATATACATTCTTACTACCTGGTGCCTTGAGTTTCCCAAGTTCACAGAAAGGGATAAGAATAGTTTCCACAAAACACTTTGAAAACCCTTGGAAGACAGACAGCATGTAAGTACTATTGATTTAGGCTGCTGTCTTTGCAAAGCACATTGACAAGTCAAAGAAAAAAATACTCTGGTAAATATAAGCTTTTTTTTCCCCTGAATTCTTAGCTCAATTAACTAACATTCTCTGTTTTCCAGTGGTGATAAACATCAACCACATGTCCAAATATTGAGGACTCTTAGTCTTTCTTAAACAATTTTCAAAAAAAGGGGAATATGTGGCTTGTACCTATGTGCATTCTCCCTGGTGAGATCCACAGCAGCCTCCTCTTTATCCATGGCGATCACCCGGCTCTGGGACAGGGAAAAAAACACAATCACCAACCAAGTATTACAACATCAAGGCTCCTGAGCAGACATGCTCTGCCAAAAAGGACATGCAAGATAAAAATTGACAATTGACTGTTCACTCTCGGCTCCTAAAAGGAATAGCTCGTGAAGAACGAGTCTCAGGGCCCTGATGAGGTCACGAGTCACTTCTAGTAAGACACTGCAACACTGCCAGCAGCCTACCAGAATAGACAGGCTTCTGACCAAACCAACTCAGCTGGCAACAATGAAGTCACTGACTCACATCACCTGACATGTTCATAGCTCCTAGTAGCATGAGACTCAACACCGTGGCTTGTCAAGGGTAGACACAGATTAAAGGAAGATCATGTTATAGGCTTCTCCCCTCTAATGTGGGCAGAATCCCTCCCAGCAGTAACACAACCACTCGGGCAGAGGTTCTGGCGTTTTCCATCTGTTATGCAGATACCTTTTGCCTAGTTACTCCATTGCAGTCCTTACACCACACTCACTGCATGTATTGACTGCACGTACTTGACTGTGTGTCAAGTATTTGAGAGTCCTCCAGCAAAACATTAAGACGTAAGACTACACAGAGATTTGTTCGACCTTCCATTCCACCTTGGGAAAAGTGCAGGCAAAGGCCTGGCTTGGTTTTGCTTTGCTTAATGTTTTTTAAACACAGACATTGGTAAGTATTTATGTAAAGAAAACATGCTTAAAGAAACTGCTTTGTATTTGGAGATGACGGCGTGACCGGCCATCATTCCTAGGGGGATTAATTTCACAGCCTGAGACTAGCACCCACCCGCACACATGAATCTGACCCTTAGGGTGAAGGTCACAGCTGAATCCCTACGTAAAAAGTTGCTGTTGTTTTCTCAGTAGCCTAGAGCCAAATTCTGCCTCAAACACTAAAGAGATCACACAGAGTGTAAACTCCAGTTAGCTGCCAGTGTGGCTACCACAAACTCTAACCAGTCAGGGCTCCTTATTTCTCTGGGCAGAGCAGCTTGTGTTAGCTTGCTGGGAAAGGACTTTTATCAGCGACAGAGACAGACTGACACAGCTCTTTGACTCAACAGGCAAGGAAAAGAGCGCGAAGTACAGCTCGGGAAATCAGAATAAATAAACTTTGAAGTCATAGAGCTCAAGTATTAACCTTATCAGGTCACTGGAAGGAGGAACACAGGCATCAACCTCTAATTCTTACACACTAATTCTTATACTTCTACAAGAGGAGGAGCTGGCCACAGCAATTCTCGTTCACAAGAAGGAACTGGCTGGTCTGCAATTCTGAGGAAAGGAAAATATTTTTCCCTTTACCCACATGCAATGAGATCTTGGATTCGTTTCTCTTTCTGTTTACCAACAGTATCTCAGTAAGCACGTTACATGCCACAATAATCAGGGGCGAATAGGGCTTTGGTCACCCAGACCTCAGTCCCCTTCCTGCTCTTTTCACTCTGTTCAAAAGGTATGGGTTGTTATCAGGGAACAACCATTAAAAGTGGTTTGGCAGTTGTGACATGTGCTTGTCATATTGAACCCAAGTACTGACACTTCTGTGGTAATCCCTTCCCTGTATTCATTTAGTCCTCAGTCTCCTAGAGAGATGATCTTTTGATTCACAGCAAGGTGATTTTTAGAGATGACTGCCCCATAGATTTGGCTAATAGAGTGTATGCCCATGCCTCAGTCCCTCTTGTCCACAGCCCAGGATATGAGCTCAAACCAACACCCATCAGTGCTTCAAGCGAAGGTGTTTAATAGTGAGCTGTGACAGCTGAAGAATGAGCACATTTGCTTCTTTCTTTCTTCTGCAGACAGCTGGGGAGAGCAATTTCTAAATATTCCTCTTCTACCTAGCATGAACTTACAGAGCCTGACTGTCAGAGACCTTAGCTGCTGAAGACCCTTCAAAGAAAAGAATTTGTGTGTGAAATCCCAATGAAGACCGGCAGAATGGGATTGTCCTGTAACACAGGCATCTACTGTACCATGAGCACTGAAAAAATCTCACCTTTGGCAGTTTGCTCAACAGACTCAGAGCAACTGCTCCAGAGCCGCAGCCAATCTCCAGGATCACAGGATGAGGAACAGAAACTGGGAAGCAGAGGCCTGAATTCTTCTCACATTTCCGAGATTCTTCCTCCACAACTAAAGAGACGAGATCCTAACAAAACAAAAAAGACAACAACCAAACAAAAAGTTTCTAAGGGAGCTGTTTTGACTCACACCTTTGTGGTCTGAGGACTGAAGTTTAAATTTCTTGACTCTGTAACCCAACAAAATGTATTTTTATTGTTAATTTTTAAAACACAGATGTCAGCAATGGAACTGACATGCCAGAAGACACTTCAGCTCCATCTCCCCCACAGGGTGCTTTCATTAGTAACCAAATCCTCAGGATACAATTTCCCACAGATACTCTGAAATCTTCTAGCACTGTTGGGAAAAACAATAACCAAACAGCTGGAGCACATTATCTTCTGCAACACCATTTTATTTACTCCAAAATTCCAGCTTTCAGAATTTGTAAGCTTCAAAATTTAAGATTTCTACACCATCTCAGTATGGTATGTAATCTGGAGGTAGAGGTACGGCTCGTAACAGCATCTAAACCAACAATCCAACCTGCAGTGAAAAGCAAAGGTCATGAATTGCTAAATGATCCAAATAAGCAGCTCCCTGCATGGATTTCAGATTATGGACTCCTACTACATTTTGCTGGTATAAAGTCACATGGAAACAATTTTCATTCATGCTCCTGGATCCGTATCCATCTCTGCCATTGCTGCCTCGTCCCTCCCATCAGTCTGCTCTTTTTTAAATCCTTCACAATTTCATATAAAATCCAACGCAGCAGGAGAGGCCTTAAAGATATACAGCTCTAAAGTTTGCGAAAATGAGTGATGAGCCGCAAGAGAAAGCACACATGTGCCTCCCTCAGACTGCAGCATGAACTTCCCTTGCTACTCACTGCAGAAAACTGTAGGACAGAAACCTTACAAACACCCTGAGTACATCAGCAGCTTCAGCAGGTGCTCACAGCTCCCTGCAATCCTTGTGCTTTCATGGCACAGCAGTACGGACACACGGCCTTACTGCCCAAGGCGCTCCCACAACGGCTAGGTTATTCCCCTCGAGACGTCTACTCTTGGATCTCCTGTAAATCCAGAATGCTTAACAAAATTTACAAAGAATAATTGTCTTGATTTTGCCAACAGGTAAAAAAGACAGACATTACCAGGAAAACTACTGGCCTTCCATATTTACAAGGAACGTTGCATGTTCTTGGCATAAGCAGGCGTGTTTAGATGCAACACGTCCTGGCAGGCAGGCCGGCTTCTCTCCAGTAAAGCACTGGCCTTTTTCGGCAGCCTGAACCAGGCAGGCTTGGACATAAGGGCATAAGCCCTTCCTTGGATACATCACCCTAACTGGGGCGCAGTGTAAAAATGCCTTGTGCAAAGCTGTAGTTTTTGTGAAGATATTTGTTGCTGTTGGTCATCCTTCACGCTAGGCCAATTTGCATCTGCAGTAATAGGGAGGGAGGATGCCAACAGGTATAAAAATGAAGCACAAGGGTAGATGATCTTCAGCGAAACATGCCCGGCAGCAGACCACCTGAGACACAGGCTGTTTTGTCAGACAGTAGTTTCTGAGGTTTCCCACAAGATGTGAACTGCTTTTAAACACATTGAAGCACTGTGCCCCTCCATGCAAGCACAAACCCAGTGCTTAGAGAACAGAAGCGAAGCTTGCACTACTTCCCAGTCCGGGATGGAGAAACAGGCATATTTCAACATTGCCCTGGCCTTGCAAAGCCAGGCAGCTTCCAACTGCTCCA